TTTTTTTTTTTTTTTTTTTTTTTTCTTTTTTAACCAGGGGAGGTCTGGAGCGTGATAGAGAGGGGTAGTGAGCTGGGATGCCTCTAGGTGATGTACTGTTAGTCCAGAGGTTGAGAGTATTTCTGGAGTCTGACTAAAGTAGTGAGGATTTCTCCCTTGATTTTTCTGTTCCTGCTGCCCAGGCCACCTGCTGCCATTACCGCCACCCTACTGCTTGCTTTTGATTGCTCTTTCCCTCCTCTCTGATCCAAGAGAAAGTGCAGCCAGAGGGAAGGCAAATGTGCTGTTGTTGAAGGTGAGCTCTGTAGCAGTGTGTAGTTGCTGGGAAAGGAAGCCGGTTGTTGTCTTTATCCGAACTGGCACATGCCTGTGTGACTTGGCTGTGACCAGCTGAGACATGGGCAGGTGTGTCAGGACAACTAAATGTGCCAGTGATGCTTCTCTACGTTTTGAATTCAGAAATGAAGGGCATCTCCTTTGTCCTGCTGAGGAAAGAGAAGCTGCAGGGAAGGGGAGGGAGGCTGCCAGGGCTGTTCACAAGATGATTGCTGCTACTTCTGCTGGGGAGGCACGGTGCTGGCAGCAATTTGTGTGGAAACTAAACCTTTCACAGTCAACCTCGGTTTAACCTTTCCTATTTCCAGCTGTAGTTTTGGGGTAGAAGCTCTCCCACAATATTTCTGTTTAGACGCTTCTGGAATCTAATCTCTTGTATATTATATTAGTAGGTGTCTTTAATTTTCTTGACTTACCCTTTTCCTCAGTTTTTAAAAGGACAAGATTCATTAGAAGGGGAGGATCTTTGAGAGAGTGGGAGTGCAGTAAGGCCAGGGAAACAAGTTAATGAAAATGAATATCTTTGATATCACTTGTTCAATTTAGAGAGTGAATACAGGCAGTATATAACATTAAGACAGAGGAAGGTGCTTCCTATGTCCTTGCTACTGTGAGCTATATTATCTCTGTGTAATACGTATCACAGAGGTGGCCCAGGTTAATGCTGCAATAGAGAACTATTCCTCCTGCACCCTCTGCTTCTTTCCTCCCTGCCCCACAAGTTTGTTGGCAGGTGAAAGAGAGTTCAGTCAACACAGGAGAAATCCAACTTTGAAAACTTGTGGTTAGAACCTACGTTATGGAGAAAGCAAATCTGAGTTCAGGCCAAAACAGAGTTGATATCCTTCTGATGGTGGATATAGAACAGACATCCGTTCCTTTCTTGGCTACCTCTGTAATATTTCTCATTGTTAACAGAAAGAGCTACTGATTTAGATGAGGTGGGGTCAGAAGAATGCACTAAAGTGGCAGGAAACCTTCCTGTCTGACTAATAGTGGAAAATTTCACCTGTTCCTAGATTTTTATTTTATTTTCACTTGACAAGTCCTACGGGAATATTCTTTATAAGAATTCTAAGCAATGTGGATCCACTTGTCGAACCATTCAGACCACATAAACTTAACTACCAGCACTACACAGCAGTGTTAAGCATGTTGGGAGTCTGCATTGCAAAGCCTATGGAGTAGTCCTAAACTTGGACAGGGTCAAATCACAGTTGGGGAAAATAAGAGTTGCTTGAAGCAGAGCAAGAAAGACGTGGTTTTAGTGAGCAGAAGATACCATTTTGAAGAGTTTAACTTGATAAAGTAGTCTCCTTTGGCTGAAGATGTGCCTCCACATGTGAACAGTCCAGTTTAGGAGTGCTCAGATTCCTGGCTGATCACAGGCTCCCACATAGCAGCATCCACGAGTAATGCTTTGGCTAGGAAACAGTCCTGTCCTGGCAGATGATGACCTGGCCTCAGTTATTTGTGCCTTCATCACTCTTTGGCTGGATTATAGCAATATGAGATACCTGGGCATTAAGCCTTTAGTGCTTAGGAAAATAGCTTGTGCAGAATGTTGCAGCATGTGCTTGTGGTAAATTGTGTTACTGGGAAAACATGAGGCTCATGCTTTATTTTCTGTGCCACCTTACCCTAGAGTTTCTAAATGACTTTTAGGATCTTGGCTTTTATATTTAGGTGACAAATATTCTATTCTTAGAAGGGGTCTGGAACTGGAAAAGGGGCAGAGTCCAGAATGGCATTGGAAAAGAGCAGGGCCTGGAATGAAATCATCCTCTGAAAGATTGTAAGATTTCTCAAGAGTTTATTCTAATCTCAGGCTAACACCTAGAATATTTTAGAAGCATTGAAGTTTTCCTACTTTCCACTCTTACTGTGAGGCCTGTTTTTATGATCTTAGTGTCTCTAAAAAGAACCTGTAAATTTCTGTTGAGACAAGACATTCTGAAGCATGCAAGTCTGTTCTGGAGAGAACAAGTGTGGTGGATGAGTAGCCATGTTACTACAGTGGAATAAAGGTACGGTGAAGTAGTAATATGAAAAGCTGTAGAACTGTAGAGTACTGAAAGTAATCATAACCGGTATTTTGGTGGTAGTAACGCTCTTCCGTCCCAAGCAAGTGTGAAACAGTCAAAGGGGTGTGGGCTATTGCCAGTGTTGTACTTGTGATCTGTCATCATTCTAACATCCAGAGGCTAATGATAGAGGCTCTAGAAATAACTTTGGATTTTCTATTTGCAGACTTGCATTTAGCATGAGGCTAGTAGGTCTGTCAAACCTGCTCTTGGAGAATGTAGAGCGTTTGGCTCTGAGTCATTTTAATGTTTTGGGTTTTTTGATGCATTTGCTGAACTGACCCATGATATCCCGTAAGATGACAGCATCCCAGTAGAAGAGAAAGTTTATGTACTGAGAGCTCTAGAACACATTGAAATCCCTTCTGAATAACCAGTTCCCATGGAAATGTAAATTATCTGGGCATGGAGCTCAGACCACCTAGTAACTGAGGATGGTCTCTGTAGAAGGAAGCTAATGCAAGCATTTGGAAGGTAAAGAAATACTGTTGTTCAGAAGTATGTCTGCCAGGGATTTGTATCCTCATACTTCTGATTATGTACATATCTAAAAAAAAGTAAGAAGCTGATAAGCGTGGTGAACCTAATTGCCTTCTGCTTCAAAGTGTCAAGAGAGCCATGGCTTTGTGAAATGGCTTGCTGCTTGTGCTCAGTATCTTCTAGGATCTTGCTGAAAGCATATTATAAACAAATGCTTTCATTATGCTGCCAATAAATGGTTGTTAAGGTGAAGATAATGAAATCATAATTAAGGAAAAAAATACATGATAGGGCTGTTACAACTATGTTCAAAGCAGAAGTGCTAGATCCAGGAAATTTACAGTTAAACTGAAAAGAAATTCAAATACTTTAAGCTGTGGAAATATGTGGAAAGGGGATCCAAACTTCCAAACTCTTTTCTGTTGCCAGCTGTTCTGACTTCATATGTAGTTAAAGCTTAGAAAAAATATGGTGCTAAATTTTTTTCACTTTTTTAACCTTGCTGCTTAGAGTTAGTTACATCATGGAGTTGTTTTTGTTTCTGTTTTTTCTTGAACTCACCTGTGTATTTAAGGATAGATTTAATCTGATGAGCACTTTCGTAGATTATCTGATACAGTTATTGTGGAGAGAGATGTTTCTCAAAATGGCTACCAAGTGAGGGCAGTAGTGGCTTCATTTTCATGAGATTTTAGACTTTTTTTTTTGGTGGTAGTTCTTTCTAAAGGATGATATTTTTTTTTTTGTGTGCAATTTGTTAGATATCCTTGTATAGGTCAGCTTCTGAACTACAGAAAATAATAAAGGAAGGATAAAGAGAGATCACTATTAATAAAGCAAATTAGGGATGCATTCTTTTCTGGACACTAACTCCATTGCACAGCCAGATGCTCCAAATTCCTCTCCCTCTTCCATTTTTTCTTGAGCACTGCCTCCTTTTTCCTGCTTCGAGGCTTCACCCAAATCTACTCTCCTTTTCTTGCAACTAACCCTGCTCTCTGTAGTACCTTCTTTCCCTCTTGCCAGGGCTTATTAGAATAGCATACGTTTGACTTCCCCTATACCCTTTCTTACTCCCTTTATCTCTTTTTTGACACTGGTATCTTAAACTATTGTGGTATAGGAGCCTGGTATGCATATGTAGGATGATTGCTCTGAATGTGTGCCTTTTCCAGGATCAGTGGATCTTAAATGTTCATGGTAGGTGCTATTGTGAAATTGAAGAGTCTGTGACACTGACTGTCTAAAGTGAAGTGGCCTGTTTGGTGAGAATGTCTGAGGATCACAGGTCTTAGCAGTTAAGGAAAAAAATGTGCCTAGCACGATGTGAACACTGTTTCGCTGTGAAAACTTTCAGGAGAACAAATGGAGCACCTGCTTTCAAAGTCTGAAAAAGAGACTAAATGCACCTGGATGTAGCTTTTGAGAATAAACTGTATTTTTTGTGAGGAGAGGTTGCATTTGGTCAGTCTCATTACATGCATTCTCTTCCTAGCTGTTGTTTTTGAGATGTCTGTGTCGTAGGTTGTATTTAGCAAGCATGTCACTTGTTCAAGAAATATTGTGAATCTTTATCCCTTCTTACAGGTTTGCAACAGTGAGGTATGACCAGGCATCCAAGAACATTAAAAACCAGTTCATGCATCTGACCAACTACAGTGTCAACAAGAAGAGTGGAGATTATGTCAGGTACTTGGCTGGAAGATGGAACTTGATCTCTAGAGGTTGGGTCAATTTACCTAAGTTGGTCTAAGGCTGGTGCAAGTCCATAGAGGTAGGCCAGTGGTGTCAACTTGCTCCTTTCATTTATTTTTAGCTCTGATGATCCTGAAGTAGAGGATTATGGAAACAAGTGGAGCATGAGTGCAATGCTGAGGTACTTAAAACAAGAGGGGAGAGACACTGCAGGTCAGTACAGATCTTGTTCTTTTATTCCTTTGTTGGATCTTGAATCATCTCACTAGTGCGAATCCTACGAAGGCAGGCAAGAGCCGCAGTGAGTCCCACTTAGCACCAGAACAGGGTGGAGGGAAGCACTTGCTACTGCATTGATTCTCTATCCTCAGAGATGAGTGCTATCCCCAGAGATGAGGCATACCCCTTCCCTTTTGCAAATAATATTCTGAGACTTTCTCAGGGTGTGTTTCTTAATATTTTACCTACATTTCCCCTTTCTTAAGGTCATTCCATTCCTTCTAAAAGCTTCCCTCCCTCTGCTGCTCCCATGGCCTGTTCAGTCTGATGAGTGACCAACCTCTGGAGAGCTGTGCCAGTTTGAATGACTCTTGGATGTGGTGTCATCTTTCCATGGCTCAGGTTTTTGCTGGGTGTTTTCATTTCAGTCTGTGTTTCATATGAAATAGCTCCCTCTTCCACACCTCTGCCAGGTCTGCTGGGAGTAAAATGCATCTGCAGAGCAGAATCCGGGTATATCCTTCGATGGATAAATTACCTGTGATACCGATGAATCAGTAACATTTACTGATAGCTGTGCCCATATTGCAAATGTTGCTAGGGAACACTTAGATGTTGGAGGAAGGGGTTTGAATCTGGCTTTCAGAGGGAAGTAGACTTCTCTCCATCATATGTGTGCATGGCTGTCCAATCACTTCTTGCACCATATGTTTTCACTAAGCTGTGTATGCCTAGTTATTGATCCTGATACACTTCCACAGCCCACCCCAACCTAAAGTATAGAGCACGCACTCTCAATTAAGTAAACCACTGAGCGATGCAAGCAGGTTTCTCTCACTATCCATTACAAGGCTTCTTGCACCTTTCTCTGATGCATCTGGTTCTGGTCATGGGGAGGCAGAATGCTGGCTGGAAAGTGCTGGCCTTGTCTGTACTGGCGATAATTTTCTGCTGTGGGATGTTTATGTGCACTTAGACATTTCCATGCTGTGTTGCATCCACTTAGCTGTCTTCTGGTACAGAAGTTCACGTCTAAGTTTGCTTGCATGCCCCTCTGTTACTAATCAGGTTCCTGCATGTCATTATCTGAACATAAGAAACAGTAATTGTAGGCCTAAATTGAACTCTGTAGTCAAGTGGTTTGTACTAGATGTTCTTTGGGACAGGGATTACCAAATATCTCTGTGGGTTTGCCGGAGGTCTTGTGTGTTTGCTTGTGTTCCCTTTTGAGGGATGGGGAAGGCTGTCCTGTCATCCCTACTAACTTTTCAGACTGCAGTCCAGTGTTTGTTCATTCTCTCCTCCTCTCACTTTTCTATTGCTTGTCCTTGAAAACAGAAATTAAGTGTGGTGTTCTTTCTATTGTATGACTCATCCCAAGCCCAGTGTAGAATCCATGTTTACATCTAATGTGCATCTTTTCTTGCCTTTTGCTCCCTCTCTCAGCTCAGATTCCTGTTCCTGAGCTCTGTTTACAGGCTCATACAGGAGCTGGAGAGAGCTTCCTTACTGAAACAGCATATTATCTGTAGGAGTTGTCACCTGTCACGTCATTTTGAAATTATTTGTGAATCATGGTAAAGGAACAGCTGCTTTAGAGGAAGGTGCAACATCATAAAACAGTTATCTCGTAAAAGTCCACAAGAAAAATTTTTCTATCTCTGTGGCTATGGCTTATTCTCTGTACTTTAAGGTTTATCTCACTAACCTACTCTAGTTTAATCTTTCCAAATACTCCAAGTGGGCAGTGATCAGACTCCAGCTGACTTGTGCTGATGTGCTTGCCACATGTTTCTGCTTACTTGCACTGTACATATAATCACTTTATCATTCTCATTTGTGAGTATTTTTGCACTAGGATACTTGCGCATGTGTCTATATACTTATGCTTGCATGGATTTCCAAACATCATTGCTTTGCCATCCATAGGCTCTCACGTGCATTGATTCACAAAGGTATCTGTCCATATGCATATTCTCATGCTTTTTCAGATATTGTGTGCTACTTCACAATCTACTTTTTCCTTTTTTTTTTTTTTTAGATATTATATTTTGCAGCTATTGCAAGTCTTCAGTCCTTCCATAAAACCGGGAGCAGTATTCAATAAACTGATGCACCAGAGAAATATTAAACACGAAGGATGATTTCGGAAAGGTAGTATTATGGCTTTGCTGTTGCTTTAAATTATCTCCATACTTTCTCA